GGAGCGTGCAGGCTGCAGGGGACACTACCTCCAGCAGGTCAGAGGGCTGCCAGCCCCCCTGAGGTGCGTCCTACAGAGGTGATGGGGGGATTGCTCCTGCCTCCCTGCTTCCCGCCCGCCTCCCTCCCTCCCCTCCCTCCCACCTCCCTTCTTCCCTCCCTCCCTCCCTTCCTCCCTCCTGCCTCCTTCCTTCCTTCCCTCCTTTCCTTCTTTGTTGTGAAGTCAGCCACCCCCCCACCCCTGCCCTAGGCAACAGGTGGTTCACACCCCACCGAACCCCAGCCAGAGTCCCCACCAGGGCAATCCCGGGGAGCACGGGTGCACCCTGAAGCACCAAGGAGAAGCAGTGACCAGGCCCCTCTGCTAACAACCAGCATGTGAGTGTGTGCATGGTGTGTGTGTGTGTGTATGTGTGAGAGAGTTGTGTGCGTGAGTGTGTGTAGGTGTGTAAGTGTATGAGTGAGCTGTGGGAGCGTGGGGGTGTGTGTGCAACAAGTCAGCCAGTAAGTGTCTGGGGTCACCTAACGTCAGGGCACGTGGGCCTTGTCAGTTTGTCCTTGGAAGGGAGCAGCTCACCAGCCCTCTGTACGTGTGGAGTCGGGGTGGGTCCATGAGGGGCCAGTAAGGTCTCCCCCCTCCAGGGTTGCCCCCGCCATTATCCTGATTAATGTGCGTCTCTGGGTTTCCCTTCCTTGCTGGGCGCAGGGAGGGGCCTGAGAGCGCCAGAAGAGAGGAGGAGCGGCCAGCGGAAGGGAAGGGCCCGCTGCAGGGACGGAGCGGAGAGGACACAGGGAGGAGCTGTGGCCCTGGGGCACCTAGGGGAGAGCACTTCGCCTCTCTGTGCCTGGACGCAGTCAGCTGCACCTGTGAAGTGGGAACACTCCGACCTCCCAGGCCCCCCACGCTGGGGGACTGCTGCAGTCCCAACGCCCAGCATGCACCTCCTGCAGGGGAGGGCCACCTGGCCCCCGGAGGTGGAGGCAGGGCAGGTGAGCCAGGTGCAGCAGAGCAGGTGGGGATGGCAGGTGCAAGCTGCGGGAAGGACAGACAGTGCACGGACACCAGCCTTTCTTCACTCTTTACTGTGTAAAAATAAACTCAACAATTCATGTAGTTTCAGCAAGAAAATGAAAAATAAGGAAAGCCAGAGTATCAGTAGAAATAGTGCATCTTCAGAATTGCCGAGGGAGGTGGCGGGTCCGTGGTTCTGACCCATTTGATACCAAATGGCTGCAGATCATATGAAACTGCCCAGCTTTGGTTAGCAAAGAATGAAAAAGTAAGAGACACCAATTACCTTTCATACAACACAGTATATACAAGATAACATCAACCTTGGGGGGGGGGCTTTTTTTGTGGCAAAGAAGACAAAATTGGGGCTCTAAGTATTGGGCTTTTTTTTTTTTTTCTCCTCAATGACTTGTTCCCCTTCAACAAATTCCACTTAAATTCACTGTGCACGAAAGCAACACATTTCCTGTCATTAGCTGAATAAATTTACACACGGTGTTTGAAGAGATGAAACCACTCAAGCCACGTTGTTTTTTGGTTGCTGTAGATTACAGAACATTCAATCCTCTTAATTTGGAAAATGCATAGCCCTAACTTCTTCTATCAGGATCGCGACTGGTACTGAAGTGCTCACCTGGTTCTGTTGAACTAGGTCAGCTCTGAAACAAAGAGGCTACCACAGGTGGCCAGTGTTACTTCCTGGTCCCCACCACACCTTGAGAACAGGTGGCCTCCTTGGAGCATGCTTGAACGATTCTGCCCACCTCATGCCAGCCTCGCCCCTCCCCTCACTGCCCACGAGACACCCCCTTGGTCTCAGGTCCCAGGGCTGGTGACAAAGTGATCATTGCAGTCTTAGAAAATAAACCGGCAGTCTACAAAAGGGGCAGAAAGCATACAAAATGTATCCCTTTCTTCCAAAATACGCACTTTCAGTCCTACGTCATGGCGGGGCCTGAAAGCACTTTTAAGGGAGATATAGGCTGTTACTTTATAGGTTTGTCCTTTTCTTTCATAAAAATACTCTTGTTTGGTAATAAACTTTTTCTTCTACAGTAAGAGAAAGAATACTGTGTTATCAAAAGCAGGAAGGCTTAAGATTCAAGTGGGCTCTAAGCTCCCAGGGGCGCGGAGAGCCTGTCGGCGGCTCTCGGCTCAGGTGCCCGGGGGCTGTTGGACACCAGCTAGGCAGAAGCACTGTCTTGACAGCGCATTTTTATCTTCATGTTTTATAAAATGGCATTACCTGAGAGAGGCAAGGATTACTCAGTGCAGAGGGAACGTCAACCGGATTAAGGAGGAGATGGAGACCACGTGGATCAGTTTTGTGGCTGTGTTGCCTACATTTCTCAGGGCCAGCCAAGTGCCAAGTGTTAACACAGTGAGGGGGCTGGGGGGGCTTGGCACAGACTCCTGTTAGGACTGGGGAGGGGGCTAGATGTTGGCTCTGTCCCTGGCACCATGGGAGCATCGGGGCAGGGGCAGGGGAGGTGACAGGGTCGGGAGGCTGAAGGACAGAGGCATAAGCATTGGGGTTGGCTCTACCCTTCTCTACGAGGGCAGAGGATGGCTTGTGGTCCTGAATGGACAGCTCCCACCGTGCCCTGGCCGGGCAGGAGGCCGTCTGGGGTCCAGAGACGGGGCAGGGGCAGGGCGGGGCTGGTGGGAGGTGCCAAAGAGAAAGCACCTGGCCTTTGCAACAGCCCCAAGATGGCTGAAGTGGGGGGTGGGCCCCTTCTGGTCTAGGGGTTTCTTCTGAGCTCTTGTTCTCTCTCAACTGCGGGTAGTACTCAGGCTTGTTCTCAACCTATGCGTTAGAAATGCTGGGTGGTCTGGGGCGCAGGGAGGGGGAGGGGGAGCTTCTCTACCTCTTGACCTCCTCTGTCACCCTTGGCTTGATTACCCAGCCATTGTCAACAGCTACATGGGTGGTCACGGAACACGGATGGCACTCGGCACACAACACAGATCTGTGGAAGTCCATGCAGGCAAGGGACACACATCGGACTGGAGGAGCAGGGAACACGCCACCCCGAGAAACATGCAAACAGAGAAGACCCCTGCAGATCCGAGGAGGCCATGGCCCAGTGGGCTCAGGCGAAGCACAGTTAGCTAAGAAGAAGCCACTTCTGGACGACGCGCGGCCGCGCCTGCTCTGCCCCTCGGAAGGAGAGCGGCGCGTCACAGACAGTGACTGGGTACCGTGCAGACACCCACAAGGACACCAACACAGACACCTACACAGACACACACGGATGCACTGGGTTTCCGAGGCAAAGTGGACCTGTGTTTAGGGAGACAGGTGCCCCCGCAAGGGAACAGGAGACGGGGACGCCTGCTTCTCCGGTGAAAAGTCTGCAGCTGCAAGTGAGCTGGCAGACAGTAGACTTTCTAGAAAGACCTGCCAGCCGTTTGCTCATTGGACTCCTGGTGGCAGAGTCCAGGATGCCCATGGGACACGTGGCCCTGGGTGACAGAGCAAAGCCATGAGCTTCTACTGCCCTGGGCACAGTGCCCCGAGGGCTGTTCTCTCCTCTCCACACACACACACACACACGCACGCACGCACGCACGCACGCACAGAGATGCTCACACACTTCTGTCCCCGCCTCAGGAGGACTAAGAAGTGTGCATGGCTGCTTTGCATGGGGTGGGGGAGGCTGAGGTTCTGGACACTGGCCAGGCCCCAGTGTCACCAGCCGGTGATGGATGGGAGTCCTGTGCGATGGAGGAGGGGACCCAGACCTGGCCACGCCTGGCCCATCGGGGGGTCCCAGAGCCCTGCCCCCCAGCAGCACTAGCGGAATTGGCTGGGCCTGGGCGTGCCGGGGGAGTATGGCTGTCAGAAGTTGCCACGGGGAGAATCTTCCCACTGGGCAGTTGGGTTTAGTCCCCATGAGTCTACATGGCAGGGTCCTAATCAGAACGTGGGGCTCCTTGTCTGAAAGCGCCTCTCTGGCACTGACCCACTGAAGTCTATGGCCTCCCCTGCCAGCAGCCAAGGGGAAGGAGTCTTGGGGTCATGGCTGCGGAGGGCTGCAGTGGGCACACTCCTCCGTCAGGGGCACCTGGGTGCAGGCGGGCCAGCACAGTGGCTCAAAGGGAGGGACAGATCCCGCCTTGTGGGGTTTGAGGAGGAAGAGGAAGGCTGAGGGAGTGGAGTACAGTCCAGAGATGGGGTAGGCAGAGCAGGGCATGCGCCAGCCCCCCAGTCCCTGGACTGCCCTCGGATGCGAACAGCAGGGGTGCAGTGGGCATGGGAGAGGCAGCCAGATCCTAAGGCCAGCGCCACCCCTGTGCCTCTGAGTAGGCTCTCTGCCTCCCGTGGCACTGACAGGCTCCGACCCTCAGAGGGAGTTTCACGTCTAACGCAAGTGAAAACTCCCCGAAGAGGCCCCGGCCCTTAACCAACTGCTAAGAGACACCTATTCTGTCAACATGGAGATGTGTCATCCTCAGAAAGTCTCCAAACAAAGACAAGTGTGTGCTTAGGGAGGTGCACCAGCCTCGAGGCACGCAGGCAGCTAACAGTTGGCAAATACAAGATTCGACGGATGGTGCAGTTTCCCAAAACCACAGAAAGAAGCAAAGACACCTCGTTCTGAAAGGAAAGCTGCCCTGCCGGACACACGCGCACACACACACACCCTCACCTACTTTTCTGCCTCGTTCACAATGCTGATGTCGCCGGCCACAGCCGGGGACGTGGGGAGCCCAGGCCCCGATCTGTAGGTCCTAGAGAGAGGTGGGCTTTCCTCAGGGCCAGACACCAGCCAGGACTGTACCATGTGTGTGGGAGGAGGGCAAACCAGGCCGTGGGCGTGTGTCCGCATGTGCCTGTGCGTGCATGGGCAGGGGCCATGGCCTTGATTCATTCCTGGGGAGACGGGAGGGGAGGAGACACGAGAGCGCGTCGCGGCACAAGCAGGGGAGGCAGGCTTGGGGCTGGGGGCCTGGGCGGGGCGTGGGCTCAGCCCTGGCCCAGGGCCTCAGTTGATCTGGCGACAGGCTTCGAATGTCCACTTAGTGGCTCCGCCGAAGATCTCAATGTGGGACTCGGCCCAGGCGATGACGTTGCCCGAAAGGGCCTTGGTGCTGCACGTGGCCAGGTTGTACACCTCCCCTGGGGTCAGCTTGCGGTCCCAGATGTTGAAATGGGCCAGCTCGCCCACAAACGCTTGGGTGGCATCAAACCCACCACCCAGAGTGTCCTTTGGAGAAAAGCAGAGGGTGGGGAGTGGGTGGAGAGATTGGGGGTCCACAGCAGGGGGCATTCCTCTCTGGGGGGCACCTGGGCTGAAGCAGGCCAGCTGCACGGCTGACGGCGAGCTCTGGGGCCCCATACTTAGGGGATGAGTCTGGAGGTCTCTGTGCCTCCACTCAGGGGCCATCAGGGCCACCCCGGGTACCGTTCTGTCCCGTCTCTGGTCTCTGGTCTCTCCCGCTCCCCGGGAAGGATAGGTGCCTGCTCCCTTGCTCTGGGTCCACTCCTTCTCCCAGGGCCTCTCCTGTGCCCGTCCCCTGGCCACAGAGTGAGGGGCCAGCTGGGGCCACGACAGCCCCGGGGAGCAGCTCCAGGGCCTTCCTGTGGCCTGTCTCCTTCCTGCTTGCTCCTTCTGCCAGGTCTAGCCAACTAGTGGGGATGGCCTGGGACTGCTGGCCGCTTCATTTATCTCTGAGGTGCCTTACAGGAAACAAGCCCCTCCGAAGGAGTGAAATTATCTGCCCTAAAGGCAGAACTGGCCTTCCCACCAAAGCAGAGTTGCTGTGGGTCCTAGGAGCGCTGACGCCAAAGCCAGCCCCCTCCGCTGCCATTTCCAAGTGGGCCCCTACGGCAGAGGTCCAGCCCCAGTTCTGCCTGCCGCACCCTGCCCACCTCCAACACCCTCCCTCCGCCCTCCCTCTCCCTCTGCAGTCCCATCCGTAAGTACCTGTTCCTGGCCCAGCACCAGCACGCCCTGTGGCTTGATGGGGTGGTAGGGTGCCAGGTTCTCGCCACTGCCACCCTGGGTGCCATCCTGGTAGGCCTCCCAGACCCCGTCCCGGGTGGTCCAGGTGACACAGATGTGGTGCCACTTCCCATCATTGATCACAAAGGGCAGCTTGGCCACCTGGGAGGGGACACACACACGTGGGTATGTGGGACCCATGATTTCACTCTTGTTTTTATCCTCTCCACTGATGGCTTTAAAGTCATCAACAACCATCACGAATACCTGCAGCCCTGGTCCCTCCAGACTTCACGGTCTGCTGGCCGTTACCAGCTCTCAGAGCCACATAGGAAATGAAGTGCTTTGCCCACGGTCCCCAAGACTGATCTGGGAACACAGTCCTCCATCTTAGCTCCCCAGCCCTGGCCAACCAGGTCCCTCAGGAAGAAAGAGGAGGACAGACCACACTGCTGTCTTGGGGGGTCTTCCCTGGGGCTCTCCTATTTTCCAGCAGCCTATTTCTATCTGAGGCCCTCGGGGTCTCCCACCACGCCACCCCCTGCAGAGAATCTGAGGGGTGCCATTAGGCCACTCTCTCGCCTGGCCACTCACCCAGCCCCAGCACTGCAGGACAGCACGAGGCAGGGAGAAAGAGCCCACACGGGAACGGGGCCTGGCGTCCAATCCCAGCCTGGGTATTAGGAGACACTGAGGTGACAGTTTGCAAGCTGGCAGCTAATCCCCAGTTCAGAGCGTCACGAGGAGCTGGCCTCCTCCCAAGGGTGGGGGGCTGTGCCGGATGCTTTGGACTGAGGACGAGTCTCTAAGGGCCTTCACCATCCTGGAGTATCTCTGGTCCCCAGTGTCTGGGCAGTTGGTGGAGGAGGAGTCGGGATGTGTCTCTGTGGAATGGACCGGGAGCCTTCTCCACTCTCCCCCACCCACGGCCTCAGCCTGTACCAGCGACACTCCAGGAATGTTCTAGCAGCCCCTATGTACCCTCTCAGTCTCCGTCTCCCTTGGTCCTTCCCCGCACACGCCAGGCTGGGCGCCCCCCGCTCCCGCCCCCTCCCTGGGCCCTGCCCGCACACGCTGGGCCTGGGTGCCCCTGCCTCTGCCCACCCGGATCTAGGGGCTCTACCTTGTCATTGATGAGGATCTCCATGGGGTTGTTGCCCCACTCAATGAGTACCAGCTCATTGGCCTGGCCAGGCACAGCGTAGGAGAAGGGGGTGCCCACGCCAGGTGCCGCGCTGGACTTGAGCCACATGCACACGGTGAAGGCGTACATCTCTGGCAGGCTCTTCTTCACCTTGGCGTACATGTAGTTAGTCCTCAGAGGGAACGTGAGCTGGAACTTGTCTCCAGGCCGGTTGTCCTTCTGACCTGGGGCGGGGGGAGGGGACGGATGGGACACAGTCCTGACATCTGCCCCTTGCCCAAGTGCTTATCAGTGTCTAACGCGTGCTTGGTGGTCCCTACTCAGACACAGACGCAGACTGGGCTGCCTCTGGTCTCCCTCGGATCTGCTCCGGAGGCAGAAGGGAGAGGTGAAAGCCTGGGCCTCAGGGCACAGGGCCAGCCAGTGACACAGCGAGTGGGGCCCTCTGGGGGCTTGGAAGGCTGGCCCTCCTCTGACATGGCTGCCCTGGGAAGGCTGAGCCTGCCGTGGTGCCTGTGCCTGGCCTGGGACGAGGTGGGATGTGCTAGGGGCTGTCTGCCTGGGCCAAAGTATCAAGGATGGAGACACGATCAGCACACGAGGGTGTGGCCTTGGAGAAGGAGGCCACAGAGATGGAGGCCAGCTCCCTTCAGAGCAGCCCCTTCGGGCCCGACCTGATTCCACGATGCTGACGTGCTCAGAACCCTGCATTCTGTGCTCTTGTCTTGGATCCCCACCTCCAAGACACTCAGGCTGACTGTGAGTGTGAGTGGCTTCCACTGTCCCCTCCAGGGCAAGACATGCCGCAGCCCCTGCCGCTCATCTGATTTGGCCCTGAGCACTGGGCTGTTTCCAGAACCCAACCCCAACCCACCTGTCAGAGGAGAGCGCCGGCCTCTCTCTCCAGGTCTGTGTCACCCATTCTAGCTTTCTGTGCCTTTCCTGAAAAACTAGGGCCTCGTGGCCTCCTGGCCTCCTGCTCTTTACAGAGGCTGCCAGCCGGGAGGTGCAGCCTGTTAGCACATGTCGTCAGTGATCACCCCCCCCAACCCCCCACACACACTGAGGCTGTGGCCCTGGGCACCCAAGGGCTAAGTCTGTGGAAAACACTGCAGCCCAGCAGTAAGCGTGGGCACCAGGCAGCCACCAGGAAGGGCACCAGAGCCGCCGCCAGCTCCTGGGTGTGTTCCACCCTTCTGCCAGGGGACACAACAACAGCTGCCCGGCCAAGACATTTCTAGGAGGCGACCTGCGGGGTCAGCGCACACCCCACCCTCCGTTCCTGGCATTACTCCTGGAGGCCAGAGCCAAGCACAGCAGGAATGGCCCCCACCCCCGCCGGCTCCGCCCGCAGTGCCCCACCCGCAGGGGCGGACGCAGCCCCCAGCCGGGCCCGCTGAGGGTGTTTTTCATTTCCCTGCGCCGCGCTCCCTCCTCCCTCCTTCGCGGATCTGTTGTTCAGTTATATAACAGGCCTTCAGATGGCACTGTGGAAATCCAGCGGGCACAGTTTGCGGTCCGAGAAGGGTCACGTGGCCCTGCTCCGCGCCGGGCGCCCCCCCTTACAACCTTTCTTGATTTCTGCGACTTCAAGGCACAGACGCCTGAGCTCACCCCTGCGCCCAGGGCGCGGTGGGGCTGTCCAGAGTTGGCGACCCGAGAACCGCGGGGGCGTGCCAGATGCTCGGGCTCCAGTCACTCAGTAGAGATAACCGGGGCGCTGGGGTTCAGGGCGGAGGGGACCTCCGGAGATCCCGAGAGAAACCTGCGAGGGATGGGGTGGACCCAGTCCGCGCCAGACGCTCTTTGCGAGGGGATGGGGACCAGCTAGAGACAAGCTTCCCGAGTCAAGGAGGGTTTCGGGCCAGAGACAGCTACCGTGCAAAGTTACTGGGAATTAAACAAATCAGACTTTAAAAATCCAGCGAGTGTGTGAGTGCGTAGGGGACGCACGCGACACAAACGCCTCCTTGGCTTCCTTTCGCCGAGGTGTCCTGAGCCCAGGGCCCCAGCCCGGCGGAGGAAGGGCGACTGGAAGAAGCCCAGAGCGCCGAGGTGCGGGGAACAAGGGGCAGGCGGGTCGGGGGAGCGGGCTGTGCAGAGCCAGGCCCCAGGCAGGTCCGGCGGGCGCAGCGAGCGGGGCAGGCAGCCGGCCGCTCCGCCGTTACCTTTCTCCAGCTCGCTGATGCGCTGGTGCAGCGAGGTCAGGGCGCTCTCGATCTTGACCCTCTCCTCCGTGTCGTTCCGGGGCCCCCCCTTGCCCTCCGCCAGGCTGTTCACCCGAGACAGCACCTGCCGCTCCAGGTCATCGATCTTGCTCTGCAGCAGATCCTTGAGGCTGTTGGTCTGGCTGGAGGAGTTCAGCCGGCTGTACTGCTGCGGATGCAAAGGCGGGGGGCGCACACCGTTACGCGCGGAGCCGCTGAGCGGGGACCGGGCCGGAGGCTCGCGGCGCAGTCCCCTCGGGCGACTGCGGGGGCGGCCTGGCGGGGTGCTCGGGCGCACAGCCGC